TCCATTTATAAGGATGATTCTTAATTAATTGCTTGATATGGGTCCAAGCAATCCCTTCTCCTTTACCTTTATGTTGAATCTAGTCGATTATCCACTTTTCATCTACCCTTGTAACCTTTGCCAACCCATTCTTGAAAGGCTGACTTTTTGATGAACTTGGTGTAGACCCGGTTCATTCTGATTCCTTCACAATGCAACAAAGTAATATATTCTTCAATGGTGCGTACCATGTCTTCTTGGTTAAACGTGAAACAATTGTACCCAGGATTCCAGAATTGCACTAAGACTTGAATTAGGGGCTAGTCTATCTTGACATAGAGTAGAAGCGCAATATCACCATATTGGCACACATAATTTCTGTTTCTGGTCACCTTTCCAACTGTCCCAAATGCTCCGTAGTTTTTGAACATCGTTTTGCTTAAGGCTAACAGAAGCATAACCAACCAATTCTGACACATAGCCTTCTTGCAAACTGTTCCCCTTTTCCTTCTGAGTCTTCTCTACCATATTCAGACCTCTGCATTTTCACCTCTTATATTACAATCCCTATATCCATTAATGCAAATTATTTATGTTTAACAAACACTCTTTGTGGATAAACACCTCTTTTTTATGATGCAGATGATAAGATAAAAGAAAACAAAAATGAAAGGAAAACAAGTAAGTAAGATAATAATCAAAATAATACTAAAAGTAAAAAATGATCCTACCCCGCATGATATCTAGCCATCATGCTTTAATTCTTACCCATACATGATTTCTATCTCGCACGTTGGCTTAATTTTGAGCAAGTCCTAACTGTATATTTTCTAGTTCGCATGCTTTAAAAAGTAAATAAATTAGTAAATAACTCAAGCATCTTAGGTTTTGTAATGGAGTTTCGGGGTGGTCTTTAATTCCCTGTAGTCTTCCGGTTTAGGTTCTAAAGAAGGGTACCCGAGTTCTCCTTGCTGATGCCCCATTGGGTTTTCCAGACCCTTAGTCCTAAGCCCATTACAGGCTTATGTGGACCAAGTAAAACTTGAGAGGACACATTCCCTTATGTCTATACGGCGAATAAATTCACACGAAGACATAAGATATATGAATCCCGAAGGTTACTAGCTAGGCCTATAAGGAGAATAAATTCTCACGAAGGCGACGCTTTTACCTCCACTTATAAAAGGGTTTTGAGCTCGGGTATAGAGCCTAAGATGAATTTTAAAAGCTGAAATCATTAAAAAAACGTCAATACAACTATTTATTTAAAAAATAATAAATAATAAGGATCGAATAAATAAATTAAAATTTATAATTATAATTTTCACTTAAGAAGACAACCGGAAATTAATTTTAGCCTGACTCATTTACCTGTCCCCAGCAGAGTCGCCAATTTGTCGTAACAATCTTTTGGGTGGGCTCGAAATTGGGCTTCGACTTAAATAAAACATACAAGAGTCACCACCGATCATTTATATATATATATATATATTTAAAATAATTAGGTTGATCGGACTCCTCAATTAACCATCTTACCGGATCTGCATTTTACCAGAAATATGTTGGATTCGGGAGTCGGTTACAGTCAATGAAGGATTAGCACCCTTGTACTACCCTTTCGATACTAATTTAATTTCTCAGTTGTCTTAATTGCGAAAATTAAAAGTTAAATTGGAATTTAAAAATTCGATTCGATCTACTTACCTTTGATCGATTAGAATTATCCCTAAAAATAAAAAAATTATTAGATTGTGAAATAAAATGCATAAATAATTCACAAAATTAAAAAAAAGGTTTTAAAAGAAAAAAATATAAAAAACAAAAAATTAAAGGATTAAATTGAAACAAATTAAAGTTAAGGGACCAAATCAATACTAAAGATGTGTTGTAAAGAAAAAAAAATAAGAGTTAGAGGGGTTAGATTGCAAAAAATATAAATTATAAATAGGGATTAAATCAAATTAATTGCAAATTCAGAGGCAAAATTGAGGTAAGTGACCAAAATGAATTACACATCAAAATATCAGGGACTGCGAAAATAATTTAATTATTTCATAATTACATAATGGCCCCTATAAATACCCCAAAACACAAAAATCTAACATTCTCTCATTTTCTCATTTCTTCCCCAACCGAGCTCTCCCCTTTCTCTCAATTCTCTCCCCTTTTCCAAATCGGTCTATGGCCGACCACCGCTCTGGCCACCACCACCAGTGACCAGAAAAAAAAACACCCTCTTTCGAATCCTTCTAACCCCCCGAGCCGAAACCGACCCCCAAACCCCCCCCCAAATACCCTTACTCGGCATAGATCTAACGAGAAAGTCTTAGGTTTTTTACCTTTCGAGGAAAACGTTTCGTTTTCTGTCGCTTTCCCTCCGATGTCGCTCCTTCACAGTCCTTGTTCCTTTTGATGAGAAAAGGCCTTAGTTTTTCTATTTTTGATGGTATTTAGATGGGTTGTTTGGTTCGATTACTTTGCTATTTTGTGTGTTGTTCTGTTTTTTGGTTTCGGGTAACTTTTGCTCTGTGATGTTGGTTGGTTTAGGTTCAGTGTTTGGTTGTTTTTCTTGTGATTCTAGTTGCTTGGTTGCCTCTTGATAGATTGCTCACTGTGTCTTGCTTGGCCTCGTCGGAGGCTTTTTATAACATGAGTTTTGGCTGTTTTGAGTCCCGAACGGGACGGGATTCGTGGGCTGTTTGTTGAGTTACTCGTTCTGATTTTCTAGTGCATGTCGTTCGACTGGGATTTCACATGCCACACGCCATTGCTAGACTGAAAACCCCTAATCGGGTTAGGGCTGGGTCAGGCCCCTTACCTGATTGGGCTCTGCTGGACCTGATTTTGGACCTTTTTTGGGCCTGAAATAAAAATAATAAATAATAAATAAAATAAATAAAAACAAAAATAAAATAAATATAACAATAAACTATATAATATAAAATTATATGTTTCAAAAATTTTCAAAATGTTTTTTAAAAAAAACTATATATTATATATTTTCAAAACTATATATTATATATATTTTCAAAAAAGTTTTCAAAACTATATTATATATATTTTTAAAAATGTTTTCAAAACTATATATTATATATATTTTCAAAAAAATGTTTTCAAAACTATATATTATATATATTTTTAAAAATGTTTTCAAAACTATATATTGTATTTATTTTCAGAAAAAAAATTGTTTTCAAAACTATATATTATATATATTTTCAAAAAATTATTTTCAAAACTATATATTATATATGTTTTTAAAAATATTTTCAAAACTCCGTGAATATTAGCCTACGTTGAATTAAGATCAAGAGTCGAGTAGATAGTGCAATTGATGCATCCATCTTATATTATTGTATTATATTTGAGTTAAAGATATTGTTTTTAAATTAATCTTTATATTTCTTATTCATGTAATTCATAAGCGTAAAACATTAGATTAGGACTGCTGTGTTGAATTTGAATGAAAAATATGTATCCATATACGTCACTTTCCAAAGAGTGGATAGTGATGTAATCATTCATTATATCATGAATATGCCCTTCAACTATATGTACAAAGTTAGATATGATTGAGAAAGTACATGTTGCTCTTCTATTTGATTGCTAAAAGATAAGGGTGGTGTGTTTTACTTTTTTGTACTAATATTCTTTTACGGATTACTTTATTCAATTATTGTAAATTATTCATCATTTTAATAGTCGATAAGTTCCACTGCCCGCCGTTAAAAAAGAATAAAAAAGAAGCTAAGAGATTAAAAAGAATAAAAAAGAAGCTAAGAGATTAAAAAGTAAAAATATTAAAACAAAAATATAAAATTAAATAAGGTATATACTATATATAAGAAAAAAGTATGCAAAACGTTAATTATGTATTGGTTTAATGGCATGATTTTTCTTGTACGCATTGATTGTTACTCTGATTTCCATCTTATACAAATATTATTACTGGGTTTTATTTTTTTTTGTTTCATCATACTTATTTAATATAAATTTAAATATACTATATTTTTTCATATTTATTATATAAGTGAAAATATATAAAAAATAAATATATTTAAAATTTTAATTAATAAACAAATAGGGACCGAGCTATTAAGCCCCTCCCAATCTTTTTGGTGTAATATTGTTCAAGGTTCTTTCTAGTTTAAATCTTAGTTAAATAAGACCTCCCAATTTTTATATTTAAATACTTTATTGAACCGTGCTCTTTCATTGTAAAGAAAATTAGCTCATCCCAGTATTTGATCTTAACTCTGTCCCTATAAACAAATATAAATCAATTGAGTTTAATTTAATTGATATTATTAATATAATTTATCATAAGATATGAAAAATTATTAAAAATAATAATTAAAATTGGTGACATCAATTAGCTGGATATTAGAAACTATTATATTACTTTGTTATAATATATATCTTTTTAAGATTTAATAGTACTTATTATGATATTTAAATTGAAAACACTTCAATCTAGTTATTTAATCAACGAAAACGATCGTTGATTATTATAATATTAACATGACATATTATAATGTTATAATCGACAATAAAATTAAAATAATTTATAATACCGATGTGATAGTAAAAACTAAATAAAAACAATAATAATATGATTAAAAATTTTAATTAATTCTTTTAAGACAACCTTTTTAATTCTACCTAATGTTAATAGTTTGATAGATTTATAATTATGGTTATATGAAATTAGAAAACTAAGGAATGATGTTGCCTTGAAAATTCCTCATCTTTATCCTTAGAAAAGGCACGCTCTTCAACACTTACCCATCAGAGTGCCCATAGAAAGACAAAGCGAAAGAAAAGGAAAAAGGAAAAAAGAAAAAACCGGAAACCGGTTAATACTGGTAATTTCATAAAACAAGGAGCGCATTATTAAATCCCGGAATATGAAAGGAGATATGAACGCCGACTATTAAACCGTGCAATAAATAATTATATAATATTCAAACAATAAATGCATAAGGTTGACCCCTTATAAATCTACCTCAAACCTCGGTCCTTTTTCCTAAAACTCTCTACCTTTTTTCACATTTATCACTCCCGTCTCAAATCTAAGAAAATATCTCCACCGCCATGCCGCAACCACTCCGTTCCTCCTCTAGCGGTGGTTCGCCACCGTCGCTGCCGTCGAAATCGAAGGAAAAGTTCTTGTCTTTGATCCTAAAAGCCGTGATTATGATGCTTCTCATCTGTTTCTTCTTCCTCATCCTCCCTCTGGCCTCTTTTTTGCTGTTCCTACCTCTTGTCCTCCGCCACCGCCGTCACCGTCTCCGCCAACGCCGCTACTCTCGTCTCTCATATGGGTTTTCTGTGAAACAGCTCAGGAAGCTTCCCCAATTAAGATTCTCCCAGGAAACGACAGACGGCCATTCGGAATCAGATACGTGTGCTATTTGCTTGGATGAATTCAATCAAGGGCAATGGTGTAGGAACCTTGTTGGGTGCGGCCACTTGTTTCATCGCAGGTGTTTGGATTCTTGGCTGATCCAAGTTACTTCTTGTCCTATTTGTAGAACTAGGGTTTGCCTGGACGACGAAGGTCCAAGAAGTGCCGAGTTTCAGGGTTTGTTAGATTTGTAAGTCTTATATTTGCTCTAAGATTTTGAGAGTCTATGGAAAATTTCATCCTTTTTTTGTATTATAAACTGTACAGCTCCTTTTTCTTAATAATCGTTATGAAAATAATGCATAAAAGATGGCAGCCTACAGGCTTGAGCCTTGAAATGATCCTTACTCTGCCTTATCAAATTTTAGTGAGATTTTTTTTTTTTTTTTGGCTTTAATCAAATTCTAGGAGATGTAAACTAGATGCAACCATAAAGTATTTGACTGTGTTAAATGAAATTAATTATGTTTACTGGTGGAGATTCCATTTGTGTTTTTCACTTTTCAAGTCTTCCTTTACCCTTCAGCATGATATTAGTTTCATTTGTATCGATCTTGTTAATGGCCCACATTGTAGGGCATGGGAATTTTCTTTGTTAAAGCCCTTCAGCATGAAATTTATTGTGTTTACTGGTGGAGATTCCATTTGTGTTTTTCACTTTTCAAGCCTTCCTTTACCCTTCACCATAATTTGTGTTTGATATTGATTATACATATAATTTTAGAAAATATATTTAATTAAAAATAATAATAAAATTATCTTAAAAATTATTAATAGATTTAACAGATTAATTTAAATAAATATAAAAAAGTGAGAAATATAAAGATAAAAATAATGAGACGGAAGGAATATAATATTTTTTTCATGATTAATGCTTCCCCACCCCCAACTAGTAGGATTCGCTTAGGCCCGTTTATTTGGTGTAAAATTTAAATAAATTAAATTACTAATTTACATTTAATGTTTTTGGGTGGGTGTTACGGTTGTAAAATCAGGTAATCGAACATATTTCAGTCGGATCTTGACAGGTCGGGTAAAATCGGGTACAAGTCAACTCAGGTTGATTTGACACCAGATCCAGATCGGGTTCAGGTCAGGTCATTTTCAGTTCGGATCGATGTCAGTTCAGGTCAAAACAATTCAGGTTCGAAGCAGATAAAGACCAGCTTAATTTAGGTTCTGGTGGACTTCAGTTGAATCTTATTCAGATCGGATCACATCATTGACAGATAAAATTCAGGTCGGATGTTTACCAGATATGGATTGAGTTCAGGTCGAGTCGTTTCTTTTTTTGGATTAATTATTTTGTCATCTTTCGTGATTGTTGAATTGCAAGTTGTAATTGTATATGATTTCGAAAAAATTAAGACAAAAATACATATTCATGGATCAATTTTGTAAAAAAAATATAAATTTAAGGACAAAATTGAAGAAATGTAAAATTACAAATAAAATTTTAAAATATAAATTAAACAACACACATAGGTAAGGGACTAAATCGAAATAAATTTAAAATGTGAGGTTTAAATTAATATAAAAATGACTAAATTAAACACATTTAAAAAGTTATGGGCTAGTTACAAAAATATAAATAACAACTAACAATGGGTCAAACGAAGATGAAAATATAAATTTAAGGACTAAATTGAATACATATAAAAGTGAAAGACTTAAAATTGAAATAAATTAAAAAACACAAAAGGATTAAGTTGAAATAAATGTAAAATATGAATAAATAATGAAAAAAGTAGTAAATTGCATTTATTTAAAAAATTGAAAAAAATACAATATATATAATATAAGTTTATATATAAATTATATATATAAACTATATTTATATTATAAAGTATATAATTATTATAAGTTATATATATATTATGTTTATATGAATTATATATATAAACTATATATGTAAACTATATATGTATAAATTATAAAAAGTATATAGTTTATAAACTATAATTTATATTAATATAATATATATATATATATATATTATTCAAAGTGAGTGGTGGGAAAACTTTTTAAAAGAAATTTTTTTGTGTGAAAAAATTGATTTTATTTGGGAATTTAGAGGGAAATTGAGAAATTTTGAGAATATAGATAAATTGAGAATTCAGAGGAAATTGAGAAATTTAGAAAGAATAGAAAATTTGGGAAGTTTAAGCCAAGGATAGTGTACAACAAGATATTTTGGGTTAATTAGGCTCATGCTCCTCCAACAATAATCATTTTTCCACTTGTTTTTTATTTTTTATTTCTTTCATTTTAGTCATGGTTTAATAGTAAATATCTTCTTGAATTTTCAATTCGATGCAATTTAATCCTGTATACATTCTAATTACTTTTAATTTTATATATATATATGTATGTATGATTGTATATAAACTATATATGTATAAACTATATAAAATATATAGTTTATAAATTATAATTTATATTAATATAGTATATATACGTATGTATAACTAATATAAGTAATCTATAGATTGTATATATATATTATAAAAGTACTATGCATAAACTATATAAAGTAATAAAGTATATAGTTTATTAAAAACCCTAAACCTTAAAACTTAAACCTTAAACTTTAAATCATACAAACTAGACACTAAACCCTAAACCATAAACCCTAATATAAATAGACTAGCATTAATGCATATATATTTGTAATAAAAGAGTGGGCTTATGTATTGGGCCTATGTAAACTAATGTAAATGGACAAGCACTAATGCAGATGGACTTATTTTTGGGTTTTATTATTACTTATTCATAACAACAAAATAAATGGGCTATTAATGTAAATTAACCTAACATGCAACTAAAATACTAATTATGCATATAAAATTAATATGACATGTACTACTATTTATGAACCATATAATATGCAATGTGACATACTAATTATTTAACACCTAATTAATCATGTTTTATATAATTTATATTTAAATAATTTTATTAATTTTATTAAATAATTTTATAAAATATGTATGTATAAACCACGTGTATATATAAAGTAAATTACTTATATAGTTTATAGAAACACTATGCATAAACTATATAAAGTAATAAAATATATAGTTTATTAAAAACCCTAAACCCTAAATCATAAACTATACACTCCCAACACTAAACCATAAACCATAAATCTTAATGTAAATGTACTAGCATTAATGCATATATATTTGTAATAAAAGAGTAGACTTATGTATTGGGCCTATATAAACTAATGTAAATGGACAAACACTAATGCAAATGGACTTATTTTTTGGTTTTATTATTACTTATTCATAACAACAAAATAAATGGGCTATTAATGTGAATTAACCTAACATGCAACTAAAATACTAATTATGCAAATAAAATTAATATGACATGTACTACTATTTATGAACCATATAATATGCAATGTGACATACTAATTATTTAACACCTAATTAATAATCTTTTATATAATTTACATTTAAATAATTTTATTAAATAATTTTATATAATATGTATGTATAAACCATGTATAGTATATATAAACTAAAATAGCCCATTTATAACTTATTCATAACAACAAAATAAAAGAGATGGGAGGCAAGAGGCAGTTCATTTTGGCAAGATAACGGCGCTATGCATGTATGTATGTATGTATGCATGTATGTATGTGTGTATGTATATAAACTTATCAAAATTTATCACTATTTTATAAAATACGACTATTTCATAACTTCAAAAAATTTATGACTAAAAATATAATTACAATATATTTTAGTGACCATTTGCATACTTTACCCATTCAAAACGCTCCAATTCTTGTTTATTTCGGCGCAGAAGTTTCAAATTTCCCAAACCAAATTCGAATCACAAGGGAAACCCGATCAAAAAACAAATCCAAACTCCCAAATTTAAATCCACTTGTAGTAATAAAGGATTAGGTTTAAATCATAAACCCTAAATTTACATTTAAATAATTTTATATAATTATTTAACACTTAATTAATCATGTTTTATATAATTTAAATCCAAACTCCCAAATTTAAATCCAAACTAATTATTTAACACTTAATTAATCATGTTTTATATAATTTACATTTAAATAATTTTATATAATATGTATGTATAAACCATGTATAATATATATAACCTATATATATATAAACTATATAAAGTAAATTACTTATATAGTTTATAAAAATACCATGCATAAACTATATAAAGTAATGAAGTATATAAATTATAGAAACCCTAAATCCTAAACCCTAATCATAAATTCTAAACCCTAAATTTTAAACCATAAACATTAAACCATAAACCATAATGTAAATGGACTAGCACTAATGCATATATATTTATAATAAAATAGTGGATTTATGTATTGGGCCTATGTAAACTAATGTATTGCCAAAATTATTTATAGTAATAATGTAAAACGTTAATATATATTACATAATAAGTACTTTCATTATTAATATTATTTTTTCTTTATATAAATTAAACTATATAATTTATAAAAATTAAACTATATTAATTTTCCTTTGCATTATTAATCATGTTTTATCTATTATACATTTAAATAATTTTATATAATAGGTCTATTTATTAATTTACATTTAAATATTTTATTATAACATTTAAAAAGTAATTATATTAATTTTTTAATTACATCATAAACTAAAAAACTCATAATTTTATTAAAATCTTATAATTTCGTCCATGATAATATATAAGTCAGGTAAATATCAGACCAGGTTAAAAACAGGTCAGGTTGAAAACAGGTTAGGTTGAAAATAAGTCGGGTAATACCAGTCATTTACCATGTCAATCTCGGTTTCGAGTTCATATCAGTCGGATACAGGTCGGGTTCGGATCCATAATTTCCAGGTCCAACTCGGATTCAGGTAAACACCAATTCCGACTCGAATCGATTTCAGATCGCTACAACGCAAGTTAAAAATAATTTTGACTCGAGTCGATTTCAATCAATTTTACAGGTCGAGTAAACTTTTTACACCCCTAGGTGTTGGGAGGAGGGGGGAGTACGGTCTATTTATAAATAGGGATTGGATTTTTTTTTATCAAATTGAATCTAACATTACTAATTTACATTTAATGTTGTTAGGTTGGGGGTGAGTACGGTATTTTCATAAATAGGGATTGAGTTTTTTTTATCAATTTTAATCTAACATGAAATTTAATAAAGAGAAAATAATTTCAGTGACCGAAACTATTTTATAATATATGATTTTAATTATTTTTTTTATTTGAAAAAATAACCAATAAAATCACAACGTGAGCTTCTATTTCGCATCACAGTTTCCAAATTCACAACGCGAACATAAAAATTTTCGCAACG